CCGCGACAGTGCAGGACGGTAGCTTGACACGCTAACCACTCGGCTACACTGCCACCAGTACCCTTGAGTTTCAAGGGCGGTCAGGCCTCTGCTATATCATATTCTTTTGGTAAGAGTGCCGATGAAGCAAACGTACGTTTGCTATAACAATCGACAACGTTACTTATATTCGTGAGTAAGTAGGGTTTCGAGACTGTGGGAAAATTCTACTACCAGTTCTTCATCGCCTTAGACGAAATAGGGTGAATACATCTCATTACACTGATTTGCTGGTAGTCTCGAAACCCTACTCCCAATTACACGCCTCGCCCTTCATCTCCTATTTGTTTCCAAGCTTTTTCCCCCTCTTCCCTATGCCACGAAGGGCTCACATTTGACGATGTGCGAATCAGACCCGGCGCATACATGTCGAAGATGTTCTTTTGCCTGCCCTTGGTCTTCCCGGCCGGATGGCCTCGGGTCATCGAGCTAGCTGGCTGGCCCGACAGGCTACTGCGGTGCAGTCGGCAGCTGCCTCGTCCAGGACCGATCATGAAGGGAGCTGATCCGGACAGGCCTTCCTGGCTGCTCGATCTCGTTGTGCCCCGAACGGACGTGAGTCCTGGACTGCTGATAGCACTGCCGATCCGAATCACCGAAGAGAGGGGGCTGGCTGGCTCACCGAGGCTGAGTCGACCGGTCGTCTGTCGAATGCTGCTAGCCGAGAGACGACGCATTTGGTGAGGATGCGTCGTATCATCAGAGTCGAAGTTGCGATGCGAGCCACCCACCGTCTCGGAAACCGAGAGGCCGGCAGTGGTTGCCATGACACCGGTCAGTTGAAGAGGCTGGTTCACGATAGACAACCGCTTCCGACCACCGCGCCGATACAGCTCCATTTGGGCTGCCTCATCCTCTGCCTCGTTGTCGAACTGTCGCGTCACACTGTTTCTCCCACCGCCGCCACCTCTGGAAGCCTCCGTCAAGGCTGTCAGACTCTGTAAATCGGCGTCACACATTGATGACCGGCCTCGGGGGCTGGAACCCTGCATACCCGTCGGAAGGAGGATGTCCACTTCGCTGAAGCTGAGTGAAGTCTCGTCGAGACTGTTCACCTCCTCGGGAGCAAATTGTCTTCGACGTGACCGGCTTCCATCAGAGGGTTTGTAGGCCAGTCCGGTGCCGGTTAAACCGCCAAGGCCGGGACTGAGAGGGTTGAAGCGCTTCTCATACCGAGTGACTATGTCCTCGAAGACATCGAGGAAATGGGTGAGGAAGAAAGCGAGCGCTTGCTCGGAGCCCAGATCTTGAGGTTGACGAGCGCTGTGCAACACGCGGCTGTCGTCACGGGCCGAGTGGACGAGGTTGTCTAGCGATTTCTGTCCACCTTTTGGAGGCATGAAATGCTTGGCGGCATGGCCACCACAGAACGAGGCACGAGTAGAGGCAAATCGAGTCGTGGCTATGACCATACGCCGCTGGGCAAGAGTGATTGCACTGCCTGGTCGTGGCTTCCAGAAACGGTTAATCACGGCTTCTCGGAGGCCCGGTTGCGTGTATTGGTTGCCTGCGTGCACACAAATTGTGTGCGCCGTCAGTCGAATAATGCTGTCCACATATCCGGCCCGTCCATACACACACCAACACCGCTTCTGCTCATCCAGACTGGCCAGTTCGGGTGGAAACCTACGAGCCACACGTTCTGCCACGTCGGCCGGTGAAATCAGGCAACTGTGCGCCGCCCGTTGCCGATTCGGCCGACCCGTCAGAACGACACCAACTCCACTCGTCGGGATGGCCGGTTTGCCCCATATTCCACCGACCCCGGCACCAGCACTACTGCCCGCGCCGCCGCCACTGCCACCAGCGGCGACAACTGCTCCTCCACTTGGCCCGCTTCCTGTGCCTTGTCCGGAGACCAAGCGAACCCCAGCAACCCCCTGAGACTGGCAATCTTTCAAGCCTCCACTTCTACTTCCACCCGCGGTTCCTCCGTCTTGTAATACAGAATGCGAAAACAGAGAGGAAAATGGAAAGGGAAAAAGAAATGGAACGAGTGAGAAGGAAGGAGAGAAAGAGGAATGAATGGTGGGAATGAAAGGGAGAGAGGGAGAGAGGGTAGAGGAGAGGCAGAAAGAGTGAAGGAGACGGATATGGGGAGTGAGAGATAGGAAAAGCATTGGGAAAGGAAAGGAGAGAAATAGGAGATGGAGAGAGGAATAGTAGATCATTTTAGGGCGATGTTTTCCCTTTTGCAGCTCAGACG